GGGCCGTGCAGAGGTGCGCTGGGCCGCGCTGGGGCGCGCGCTTTGGCCGATTTCTGGAAATTTTATGGGCAGTTTTCTAGGCTTCTTTGAAGGCTTCAAACTTGATTTTCAAGGCCTCCTTTTTGATTCATAATCAAAAACCCTAATTCTACCCAAAACATAGAATTACAATAATTCAAATCCTGAATTAAATTAAAAATAATTTATTAACGAATGAATATAACCGATCCATGGAACCATATAATGAACGACCAAATCCACCATCCATACATTCATCATCACGAATTAAACTAAACATCCATAAATGCAAGTGCCTACCCATCACATACATACATAATTAAATATCGCATATTTAATATATCAATTCTGATTATCAAATAATCGAAGCATAAATTAATATCGTCTAAACCTGGCTCTGATACCAATTGCTGGTTCCCGAATCGAATTCGGGTACGGAAGCGTGGCGGGGAGACGGATCGTGTATAATAAAAATTTTCATAAAACTTTTGAGATACTCTATAGATTATATTAATTTATGCACGAATAAATTAATCGCATTAACTTATATATCAAGAACTCAATCCGGAGAAATACCTGGAAGCCAACTCGGATGATAACTTGAGTTCTTTGACCACGAACAGTCCTTGCTCCAAGTTTTGTGTTTAGAATACCAAAGTCTTCTACGTTGATTCCTTGATTCCACGTAGACGTGTGTGTGGGCACACGTGAGACAAAACAGGTTTCTAAAACACTCGAATTTCCACAAACACCACCGCATGCATGATGTGGAATTTTTGGGAGAAAAATTTTCCTCTCTTTTTTTTTTCTATGAGAATTTCGGCCACCACTAACTCTTAGGGCTGAATAATTGTTTCAAAAATTGTGTCCACAATTTTCTATCATTCTCATATTTAAAGAGTAGAAGTCAAACTTCAAAACAGAATCAAATCCCTATCTCCAATTTTGAATTTTGAACAACAAAATTTCCTCACATTATCCCTAATGTGGCCGGCCACCCTTAGGGTTTTCTAACCCTGTGTGTGGCGCCAATTCTGATAGGGAAGGAAGAGAAAAATCATCCTTTATCCGGTAGTCCAATTTTGAATCAAATTCAAATTCCAATTTAAGTCAAACTTAAATTAATTTGAATTCTAAATTGAACAACTTATCAAATAAGTTTAAATGGATAAATCTAGATGTGTTCAAATTCAAATTTAAATAATCACATTAATTAAATAATAATTAATTCTTAATTAATTATTTTTGAGTATTTAATTTTAGAATT